TCAAAAGGGTCCCATCACTGGATAGCTTCCCTTTTTCCCCTTTTTAAGTCAAATGTGTTATATTCTATTGTTCACCTATTTGCTTATTGTATCTTTCTTATGTACAGATTGTAAATTTTATTATTTTATAAATAAAAAAAAAAAGATGAGTTTCATATGCACATGTATAACGATGTGGATAATAAAAAAAAAGCGCACTGTTAAAAACTGTCATCATTAAGTAATTTGCAGAAAATGATAAAAATACCTTTAATATTCGTTATTAGTCGGCATTTTAGTGTCCCTTTGATATTACAAGGTTTTATAAGAACTATATTAACCTTACGTTCACTATTCAACTAAATATTATTATTTATCAAATGAAACATAATTTTGACATATTTTTTTTTAGTTCCAATAAACATTACAATTGGTGATAATTATTTAAAGAGAATTAATAATCATAATGTAATTCCAATCGGCACTGCAAAAAAAAAGGATCCTGACGCTACAATGTATCAACTTAGTTATTTAACATTTTATAAAATAAAGAATAAAGTTAAGATAAGAATATCGAGCTAATAGCTCGATATTCTTATCTTCGACAAACACAAAATCCCGATGAAGATATTTTACTGTTAAAAAAATTCAATGAAAAAGCAATTGAAAAACTAAAACAATGCATTAAGAGATGTAAAAATGGATTTCATGAACATTTAGTGTATGCAGAAACGTTTATAACTAAATTGACCGATAATGAAAGAAATATGTTATGGAGTTATTATAAGAGAAATAAACTAAACCCAGAAAATAAATTAGATAAAAGAGCACAGTATTTTTTTAACTTTTGAATAGTTAATTAACCTATGATTTAACTAAATTTTTATAGATTTGAACCTTTATACATTATAAAGGAAGCAATTTTATTTTTTCAAATGGCAACAAACGTGATTAACTAGGTTGTTTATAAGATAATAACCTAAGTACATTTTGATAACAACTTTATTAATTTCTCATAGTTATTCATAACAACTGTGCGTTTTAAAAATTATTCTATCTGTCACATATAATATGATAGTTAAATTACCTAAATATTAAAATATGTAATTTTATTTTTAAATCATCTTTAATGTCAAAACATAACTGATAATCAATACGGAGATTAATTTATTTTTATTAAATGTTAAATAATATTACATAAGTAGAATTTGTAATCGATTTTTTTTTTTAATATGAATGAATTGTTAATATACTATGATTTTTATATTATTCACTGTATTATTTTTATGCATATTGTAATTTCGACAGAAAATTTAATTTAAGTTATAAAAAATCGCATAACAATAAATAATTTATAATATTTGGAATAAAGTGTCAAACAACAGTATAGTTTAGTGGACGTTTTTGCAACTGCGTGGACGACTCGTTTCAATCTGCGGTAATCTATTAATAGAGAGTAAATTAGATAACCGCAATATAAACAAACGTAGCGTATCGTTACGGGCGGAGTGCGGCAAAGTGTTGCATAATGAAGAAAATATCTTAAAGGCGGCCACTTGCCTCCAGTCTATACTTAATATTTTAATAACTTTCGAAATACTCGTTCAAAATTTGTTATCGACCAGTCATTTTCTTAGTTGGATCATTTTCTAACATTTAATCCGTTAAATTAAATATGTATCCACTATGAAAATAATGTCGGTATCCTTATAAGTAATACATTGCAACCTCAGCTTAACCATGCTGGGGCCTAACAGTTATTTATACTGTTTTCAAAACGGCTTTCGTTGGCCCTATACATAATTTGTATCCCTTTAAAAGGGCAGTTAGAGGTTTCGTGACTAATAATTATCAACTTTCAAGTAACAATGATAAGAAGTATTTATTTCTATGCAATTTTTTAAGATATTATAACCTGACTGGATTTCGAGAGATTTTGGCTGGTAATCCAAGGGAAGTTATTCGACGGCGGCGAACGTACACAGTAAAATGATAATAACAGTAATGACAACATGCGCTAAGTTTAATAAAAAGCTTCCAGCGTGGTAAAATGTCGGCTATCGTCTAAGTATCTTTAATTAATGTAGCAAAATTATAATATGTTCTGTTTGCACCCGTATGCGGCATACTCATAGTAAGGGACGTTAGAGATAATTAGGAACTAGCTTGGTAATGAATTGTTTATGTTTATGGTTTTCAAACTGAAATCCTATGAAAATTACTAAACCGAAACTCATGCGAAACCTACAAACCTAATCTTTAATCGAAACCAAAATTTCAGCATGATTTTTATACAGGGTGATTTTTTTATCATAACCCACTCAATTACTTGCAGAATAATAATAATTTAAACATTTTTTTTTATTATTATCTTTAGTTACACATTATTCTTGAATTTTTAATAGTAAAGTTAATATATTAAGTTATATTAAAAATTCAAATGCCATTTACTATTAAATTAAAAACTCAAACATTTTATTAAATTAAAAATATGTGTTACCATTTAAAAAAACAAAGTTGACTCCCTTACAAGGCATAAGGGATGAACATAAAAAGTTTTAAATAGTTAATAATTCAAGAATAATGTGTAACTAAAGATAATAATAAAAAAAAAATGTTTAAATTATTATTATTCTGCAAGTAATTGAGTGGGTTATAATAAAAAAATCACCCTGTGTAGGTGTATGATTTTTTGAAAAACGTATCTTTAGTAATCAATTGTATTTTGCTTATTGTTATCGTTTTGAAATGTATTAATATTTCTTATTCCATGTTTAGTTATCATTTAAATGATAGAAAATAATTAATACTCTAAATATTTTTCACACTATTACCAGCTGGTATGGCGAAGACAATATATTTTTGCACTAGACATTAACGAAAAGTTAATGGGTCCCAACGTAATGTTTGGAAGCGATTTAACAGTAAACGACGGAGAGAATTTCGACCGTCCTGGAGTTACTTATTTCATTTCCGTTTTGTAAAAAACAATTTTTATAAAGATAAATTTGTCATTTTTTATTACTATAACTTGAATTTGAGATATTTAAGATTTTTAGGGGCATGGTCTTCACCTCGTACTTCATNAGTACTTGTGTCTTGCACTTCGTCTGCACCTCGTACTTCATTATCCTCTCCTAATAACTAAAGTACTTGTGTCTTGCACTTCGTCTGCACCTCGTACTTCATTGTCCTCTCCGGTACGCCAAGTATTTGTGTCTTGCACTTCGTCTGCACCTCATACTTTGGGCTCCTTTTGCGTACACCTAGTATTTGTGTCTTGCACTTCGTCTGCACCTCATACCTAGGTGTTACTCTTATTCTCCCTTCCTATAACAACAGCCTTTCGACACCCACAGCTAACCCGGAGTGTCAGCCGAGCACGGTGACTGCTGTACAGCAACACGCACGTGAATACCTAGACAGCAGGCACCACCTCCTCATATTCATCTTCGTACACATAATTTGCACATTCACGCTTTTACCTATTACATTTTACTGTGTTACGACACTACTCTGCCTCGAAATTGAACATAATTATAAATGAACTAAATTAGAATGTCTGTAAAATCTAAGGTAATTAAATTTAACCGTTCAAACTTGATTGAGACATAGTCTATATATTATTATAAAATTAAAAATTAATTGACCCAATCATGTGTTTATACAGGCTTAAACTAGGCGAGTTTGAGTAAAAAAAAGTATATTTTTAAATGTCCATTTACCACTCAAAAATTTTAATTGAATTTTTTTTATCATTTACTATAAGTCATAGATAGAAAGTACCAAAGTTTGAGATTGATAACATTGATATTAAATGAGTAATTTTAACTAAAATTACTAGAGGCGTAGGGGTAGAGGCGAATTTTATAACTTTTTTTCGAATAAAATTGTCAAAACAATTTAGAATGACATAAAAAGAAATTTTTTTTTTTATTTAGTTAGATCCTAAAGAAAAGATCATAGAAATTTTTAAATTTTTTAAGTAGTCGTGCAATCTTGTCTGAATGATTTGATATGAATCAACCTTAAGAAAAATAATTTTTCAACCAAATAATACAAATCTACATAAAGTGTTGTAAACTATAGATTAATATTTACATTTTGTGGCAATCTTTTTCATATAAATATGAGTACTAATATTCTAAATTTTAATATGATAAAAAAAAAAATAGTGTGCGAAAAAATTCTAAAACTTATTATAAAAAGTCATTATTTATAGTTTAAAACTTTAAACAGTCATATTTATTAATAAAATTTATTTTATTTTACATTTGTCAAATGTGTTCCTTAAAATAATCCGGTAGAAAATTTAACTCAAATACTGGGTTTATCAGCATTTTTTAATCGATATTATATTGACTAAAATGTATGATTATTATTAGAAAAAATATTTAAAATAACTTATACAGACGACAAATTGTGTGTTTGCACTGGTCAGCTGCAATACCTAATAAACTAAAATTTAGGATTATCTAAACTTTCACAAAATTACCTTTGGACTTGTTTTTGTGGTTAAAATGAACATTATAGTTAAATTCAAAAAAATGTAATAAATTGTTTCACTTATAAATCAAAGAACATCAATTAAGTTATAAATAAAGAAATAGGAGTTGATGTTACTTTTGGAATAATTTACTAATTACTTAAAATTAAACAATATCTACAGATTTTCATTGAAGCGTTTTTTATGATAGTGATTTTAATCATTGTCAAATTAAATCTATACTGGTCCAACTATGTGACGATCCACTTTGCTGGGTTTAATTTAATATTGGTTTTATTCAAAATTGGACCCTTTACTTGACCACAGGATGAGGATTCAAGATAGCAACTTTTTCATATAATAATAGTCAATAGTAAATGGCATTTGAATTTTTAATATAACTTAAACTATTAACTTTACTATTAAAAATTCAAGAATAATGTGTAACTAAAGATAATAATAAAAAAAAATGTTTAAATTATTATTATATAGCTAATTGATTTTTTATGACGTCAATATTCGCAGGTACACAGCATTANGCCTTAATAACAATTTGATAGTTGTCGTTTAATAATTGTGGCGATACACGTTTGAACAACTGAATAAGTTGGTTTCGATTTTCTAAAAAAATTTCCAATGATTCCACAATTGCTCTCTCATCTGCTCGTTCAATAAAATTATGAACACAGCGGGTTGATACGCGTTCTTCACAATTTCCCATAAAATAGATTTGCAGAAACTTCGGTTCAGTATCAGGCATCGGCATCAATGACCCAATTTGATGATAAACCTGACCTTGTATCTTAAATGTAGATTCGAAGTAATTACCATCGGATGTGAGATCACAAATTTTTGTTGCCCTAAAAGACGTCATTTGGAAGCAAGAATTAAACTTACGAATCTTGCTCAAAAATAATTTTGAATCATCAGATTGGCCAGCAAGAAGTGATTGTAAAGGTTCCAGCGGAGATGGAAGCGGCTCCAGTACAACTTTTCCTGATGCGCAACACAGTCCAGGTGTTTCATTGGGGAATTTCAACGCCTGACAATATTGGCATACTTTGTTCATTTCACCGATGGAAATTAAAGAATGCGCAGAGTAATTAATATCCGGTGCATATTCAAAGGCAAGACGAACAAATGATCCAAGTTGTAATTCGCGACTGGTTCGCTGTCTTTCATGTTCTTCATGTTGCTGTGCTGACCGAAAACTTCTTTTTGCACGTTTGCGCCGTGCCTCTCTACTACTCGCGGAAAGGTTCGATTTTTTCGGTGGCATTTTACTACAAAAATATTAAATAAATAAATTTCGAACCGGTTACGATGAAAAAATAACATAAAATTATTATAATAATACTTATAATACTACTATTATAAGTATTATTTGAACTATGATAATTTTTTTTTAAAATAAATATAAATATGTTCAATTAATAATTAAATACATACAAAAGATAAAAAGAAATAAAGTCGAACTTACTTAATCAATATCCAAATCAATTTGCGCGATGTTATTCAGTAATATATACGCAAAATTTACAAAAAAATTAACGTGTCTTAGCAGAGATCACAAATTATTACAAACACAAAATATATATCGTTATAATTATGTTGCGCCGTTTTATAGTGTGTAGTGGGTCTAGAATATTCTTTTTATGGCCGATCGAGAATATTCGTGCATATATGTATTTTGGTTGCCTATCCGTCGCGAAGATTCTTGATCGTTCTATTGTCATTACAATTACAATTATTGAAAGAAAATACACGTGGACAGGCGCTATCTATTGGACACTTACATAACTTTAATACCGTTTCATAACGCCATCTATGAGAAAATAATTATTTATATTTATTTATTTTATATTATAAAAAATAAATAAGGCCATCAATCAAAATAAAAACTATCCTATGTTCTAAGTTAGACCTAATCGCACATTTATGCCAAATTTCATAAAATTCGGTTCAGTAGTTTCGGCGTCCATCGCGGACAAAAATCTGACATTAGATTTTATATATATAAGATTAACTTAAAAATTTGAAACTTTAAATGTTTATATCTTATAAACAAATAAAGTTATTTTAAAAATTCAAATGCCATTTACTATTAAATTAAAAACTCAAACATTTTATTAAATTAAAAATATGTGAACCATTTAAAAAAACAAAGTTGACACCCTTACCAGGCATAAGGGATGAACTTAAAAAGTATTACATAGTTAATAATTCAAAAATAATGTGTAACTAAAGATAACCAAAAAAAAAAAAAAAATGTTTAAATATAATTATTCTGTAAGTAATTGAGTGGGTTATGATAAAAAAATCACTCTGTATATAGCTTATTGTTACATTGGTATATATGTCATATTTTGTGATTTATTAATTAAATTCTTAAATTGTATATTGTAACAATAATGATATACTACGTATGTTATAACAAAATTTATGTTAAATTATAGTTTATGTTACGTACTATAAATTAAAAAAAAAATAATTTGTCCCAATGACTTATTTTCGATTTGTAAATGGCTGTCATAGTTAAAAAAATGTTTATTTCGTGGTCCATTTTTTTTATTTATTTTAAAATACCTATACAAGAGTTTGTCATAGTAATGAGTCTATTAATTTTTATAAAATTTACAAGAATCTAACTTAGATTACATGTGCATTTATACTTATTTTTATTATTTTACCTCCTCAAAGTGAAGAAAAGCGACTTTAAATTTTTGAACTTGCTTAAATATTTTATTTTATCTATTCATGTCGATCACAATGGCTCCGTTGTACATTATGCAGTCTTGAAATTTCGGGGTACATAATTCAAACCCCGACAGCCAAAATAACTTTTTTTGCATTTTTTTATTAATTTTTTTTGTGGTGGAAAACAAAATTCTAAACGAAAAATTGAATAATATAAGTATATTTTTGACTCTGATGAAAATTATTTGTAGACCATATATTCATAATTAACCTCAAATTATTTTCTGAAAATATTTGTAACAAACCCTTTAATATTTATTTATGTTTGCCATAAAAGTATGTTGGAGTAAGCCGTTAGCATTCCTTAGAAGTACTTTGATAGCATGCTTTTGAGAGGAGTACACTTGGGCGGCTGATCGATAGGTTTAAGGCACGCATCAGTCGAATGTGAGCCGTCGCATTTAACACAACGGGACTCGTGATTGCAGTATCTTTTTGTGTGACCAAAGTTTTGGATTATTGTTTGGTTTGGGTACTTCAAATTTCACTTTAGAATAACAGATAGAGTTAACTTTGAAAATATCATTGTTATTTGGCTCTGTCACAAGATTTATGAAAAACATAGGGAGGGGGTTTTGGACTGACTTCGTAAGACATTAACAACTTGTTTAACGTTAAATCCAAGTTGTTTTAATTCGTCTTCAATGTATTTTATGTCAGTAGAATGATGTAGATTTTTGAGAACAACACGAAATGGTTTTTCTTGCTCAGTTTGGTACGTGTGGAAATCGGCGTTTTTTTGAACAAGTAAATAAACAATTATCCTGTAAGCTTCAGGAGTATTAAGACGAAGTCGAACGCCAGAAATACTACTTTTACATGAAAAATCGTCAGAACTGATATTTTTTTTAATAAGTTCGCAAAAGTTTAAATAATTTAACTTCGATTTTATGAATATGGGAGGTGGTTTATGAACTATGGGTTCAGTTGAGCGTTTCGTTTCTATTTCCTCGTTATTGATTTGTAGCGGACTATATCGGTTTGATAATTTCCTATTATTGTTATTATATGGGCTGTAATTAGATGTTGGTGATGAACCAGGTGATTGGGTATGAGGTTTTTTGTTCGACGATAAAACTGTAATCCAAACATCATCTAAATCATCGGCCTTATCGGGTTTATGTGATTCGCTTTTGTTAACTACATGGCTATGGTTAATAATAGTAATAGGCGTTATTGGGGTATTAGTGGTTCGAGATGATGGCGGTGTCTTATTGCGATTAGACATTTTTCAGTAATTAAATGTGTAACAATTTCTTACCTCGATCCCGAAGGATCACACGATGGTATGAGTTTGATGCAGTAAACGATCTTTTTTATTTTTTTATTTTTGAAGCTTCAACTTCTAAGGTTGGCTTGAACAAAATTAAATTATTAGGTTACATATATGACTATACATAGTATTTCTTAAACTAGTTAAATACAAATATACAATGGTTGATTAAATTGAGTTGTACATATCGATTAGTTTAAGAAATGAGATTATTTTGATGGTGTTGTCATAGGTTGGGTTGAGGGCTTCAAAAAGGTTATCAGGCATTTCTAATATTTTTCTGGTATCTATATGGTTACGACATTGGACAAGGAGGTGCTTGACTGTGAGAGGTTCTCCGCAGGTTTGGCACATTGCAGGATCTTCTCTGCGCATAAGGTGACCATGGGACATCTTTGAGTGCCCAATACGTAGTCTGTTGATAACTACTTCGTCTTTGCGATTTGATGTATGAGGTTTGGGCCAGTATTCTATTATTTCCCTTAGTTTATTATTAGGTGTACGCCGCCATTCGGATTCCCATACATTTGTACAAAAGGTGCTTACATTCCTATGGATGTCAATGAGTGAGGAGTATGTGCGTATCTCGGTCAGAGGGTTATTTACTGCTTCACGAGCTACTTGGTCGGCTTTTTCATTGCCATCTATTCCACAATGACCTGGTGTCCATATAAACCGTATGTACTTGTTAGCTTTTACAATGATGTTGCTTATTTTAATTGCTAGGATGCTTGAGTGTCAGTTATACTTAAGATTGTTAAGGGCGCTGAGTGAATCTGTACAAATGATAGTGATTGAACCAGGTAATTGAATGGCTAGGTAGACTCCTTCCAAGAGTGCAAAGTATTCCGCCGTATGAATACTGTTATGGTCTGGTAGTTTGTACGATATAGATTGATGGCCATTTATGATAGCAATCGCGACGTCTAAGTTGGTTTCGGAGGCGTCTGTATAGATTTGTGGGTTTGATGGAGGAGAGTTGATGATTTCATTGAATAAATTTTTATAGATAATGCTTGACGTTTCTTTTTTACTATAATTAGCTAAACTGGTGTCCACGAGAAAGGATGGCACCCTCCAAGGAGGCACCACACTATATTCTCGTTTGATAATTGAATTTGGATCTATATTGTTAAGCGACATTTCATTCGGCATCCTTAAACCCAATGGTTTTTTTAGATTTGAATTGGAGCAAAATATATTTGCAAAACGATTTTGAGTCACGAATGGTAATGTAGAGTTTTCTGGGGAGGAAAGGATGCGAGCAATATAATTTAGAGCTAATTTGGTTCTGCGAATATGAAGGGGAGGTTCTCCAGAAATGGATAAAATACTTGGGATGGGGCTGCTTCTAAATGCTCCGGTTGCAACTCTTAGACCACTGTTATGAATTATGATATCTTGAAAATTTTTATAATTGACTTAACCGTCAAATACTTTTCAATTTTTTTTTATCAAACAATTTATTTATATGGATTTAATTTGATTAATTTATATAATTATTTTAGTATTTTCATTTAAAGTTTTTCAAAATTATTATTGTTTATATCTCAAATCGATCAGGTATTTCTAACGAGAATTTTATTATATTCTGAAATTATAGTACTAAAGACGGGTTTAGAAATAAATAATTTACTTTCTTTGTTTAAAAAATTGATCTCTGAAGAATTAGCGATTGAAATACAAAAGACAGTATCAAATTACTGTTTTAAACAGTAGTATTTCTTTTAGCTTCGATGCGAAGCTGAGAAGGTATTGGTTTTACTATGATGTGTTTTTTTTTTTTTTTTTTTTTTTTTTTTTTTTTTTGTGTCTGTTACCACTTTTTCTCAGCTCTCAC